TATACGGAGAATATCCCATTGCGTCATTGAAAAGTGACTTACACCTCTCACCGGTCAGCTGGCTGCGTGGTGTAGTGGTGAGCACACTCGCCTCGTGATCTAATAACTAGGGTTCGATCCCCGCCGCCGGCCGAACTTTTTGGCGCGTTGTAGGTTAGGTTGTAGGTTTGTAGGTTGTAGGTCTGTAGGTTAGGTTGTAGGTTAGGTTGTAGGTTGTAGGTTTGTAGGTTGTAGGTTAGGTCAGGTGAGGTTAGGTTATGTTTGTTTTTGTTTGGTTTGTTTACCAAGAAGCATCTTCGGGTATAGCGCCTTCCTTTGGTTGGAAAAAAGAAACACGCGCACCACAAAGTATGAGCAGAAGCCGCGCCCAAAGCCAGGGCCCCGGTAACGTGAGGTAGCCGAGTCGGGGCAGCGTGCGCTGACCCAAGCCGGGGCCGCAGCTTTGGGCGCGGTCTACCGCATCCCCGCGGGCAGCCCCGGGCTATCACATGACACCGGGAGGACGCGCGGCTCCGGCTTGGGTCAGCGCACGCTGCCCTGACTCGGCTACCTCACGTTACCGGGGCCCTGGCTTTGGGCGTGGTCTACCGCACCACCTAACAGGCGTGTTCGAAACCGCAGGAGCTGATGATGAACGGGTTTGTCGAAACTTGATTGGATGAGCATATCGGTAGGTAATAGCGATTTCAGTGTGTGCATTTATTGTTCATAGTGGTGTGAAATGTGGTTGGGGTACGACCGACAACCCGTCGGGGCGAATTTCGCACTGGGGTACTCAAAATTTGAAGAATTTAAGACGTTTCCATGAGTTTTGAAGGTATGGATAAGTTCTAAAAATCCGGTTCTCCTTATCTGGGCCATTAACTCCATACGGTCCAGGAAAGCTGGCACACTACCTTTAAGCACGTTATGCACTAAATGCGTCAATGGTAGTGTTACAAGCGCAATTAACTTTGATCTGAATTTAAGCAAAACTTTATCGATCCATTTCGGCATTCCCTGTAGGTTTTCGGCATTCCCCGCAGTTTCTCTTTTTGGACATTTGTCTTTATCTCAGCTGACTTAACCCGCGCCCCAGTGGCGGTCTCGGCCAACTTCGCCCTAGTGAGGGGGGGCATATGTTACCACCCACCTCTAACTCAAAAACTAAGAGGGCTAGAAAGACGCGGTAAAAAGCAGTCGATACCTCTCAATGCGTACATTTGAAAGTATTTCGGTCATTTTTCACCTTAGAGCAGTATTGGGGTCACCAGAGGTCATCAAAGGTCAAAATTTGCCAATTGTCATTATATTTTTGAGAAAACATGCCGCTATCTCAGGAACTATGGTAGCTAGAAAAACGCTTGGAAAAGCAATCGATAGCTTTTGAACTCTTCTTTTGATAAGGTCATTATCAAAATTGACCTCAGGTCAACGGTTTAGCCTCCAGAGGGCAAAAACTCCAAAAATAGCTGTTGTTACGAAAAGTGTTTTTCGACAATAACTTTCGACTCCAAAAAGCCACGACATTTCTATTGCCAGAATCGTGTTCCCCTCGCCAAGACGCGTCGAATGAACTATAATTTGACCTTGAAAGGTCAACTTGAAAATTTGACCTTAGGTCAAGGTCATGACCTGACCAAAAAAGGTCATGTTGCATATCAGTCGATGCGTCTCAACAAGACAAACACAATGAGACCATCCCCAGCGTTCTATCTCTTTCCAATCGCGAGTTATTGGCAAAAAAACTGTTTGTAGCCTCAAATGACCTCGGATGACCTTTCTAGAGGCTATCAGCAAAAATGACACCTTGGTCACCACCAGTGGTCTAAATCATTGTGATTTTGAAATATTTGGACTGTTCCTATGCGTACACACGGATCTAGAGGCATTTTCATTTTTCTCCATTGACTTGTAGGGGAGAGTGGGGTGGGTTGTATCAGTTTTTACTCCGAGACCCATAACCTCGTAACTATCCGTGATAAACTCATTATTTCCATACTATCCCCTTCCTTGATTCTTCTGCTTTTTTGTGCAAAGTAACTTTTCCGCTACCTCTACCAGTTTTTCTTCTACGGTCTCCCGAATAGAACAATGTTTTTGATACAACTTGCCCCATGGCTTGGGTGAGTTGTATCACATGGTGGGGTAATTTGTATCACTATTTCACGTTTCAGGGAGAATGCTTGCTACTGGTTTTGAACATAGCAACAACATTAAATGGGGTTAATACAATGTATAGGTATGCTCAAAGGCTTCACTTTATTAGACCAAACTTAGGTCAATGCAATCCGAACGAAACATCAACAGACAGTAGACGCAAAAGTGGCCCGTTAAGAGCAAAGAAGCCAACACATTGTGCCGAAATGGAACGAGCATTGACTAGCTACCTACAAACGCGAGCCAGGGCTTAGCTTTCGCGATCAAAAGCAACATACCCATACATACATACATACATACATGTTACAACATACCCCACCCGGCTCTGATACAACATGTACCTAGCCGCCATCTTGGAAAAAACATCCTCGTGCTAAAAAAAAACAGCGGACAGCTGGAGAAATCCGTTTTCACTCACGCAGCCTTAGAACCTACCCTCACCACCGCTACGGAGATCTTTCAAATTCGTGCACATCTAAATGCCCAGAACACACATTTTCTTGCAACTTATTTTTTTAGAATGACATTAAAAAAACATAAAATCGGCTCTCACCTCGAGACGCGTCCACTCAGCCACAAGACAGAAAAGGGAAAGATGGCGCCCGGAAAACCTCGTCGGCTGGTCGTGTCGCGAGCGCCATCCATTGGATAAGTTTGGCACAATTCGCCCTGATACAACTTGGACATGATACAACTCTCCCCGCTCTCCCCTAATGGAAAGGTCACGCCACTGACCTGACCTTAGGTCACGGATATAAAAAATCCGAGATATACAAATTGTAGGCGCCCATAACAGCATGCAATCCACCAAGTTTAAAACTTTTCTTACAAACACTGCAGGCTGGACAGGATTGCAAACTTTTTTAGGCTTGGTCAGTTAACTTGACCTGGTGACCTGACCTGACATGACCTGGGGTCAAAAATTTCACACATTGACCAAAATTGATGTACCAAAAGCTACCCCAAGCGGCGCGGCGCTACGCGCCGCGGTTTTTTATTCACTCGCAAAAAACGCGGCAGGGTGGTAACATATGCCCCCCCCCCCACTGGGGCGAAGGTTAAAGATCAATGACACAAAAGCACATTTGCGATGTATAGTCAATTGATGAGGCTTGTCAGAAATGCCGCTGGATTTTCTACTGCCGGCTTTGTTTGTCTGCTACAGAGTCTCAAACAGAAAAGTTTCGGCATTGCCCCACTTTCCCCTACCTACAAGTTAAGTCTTAGAATGGTCGAAATGCTTAATGTTGCATATCATTCGACTCGGCTCTTCAAGAGGAACAGAATGATACCATTTTGAAATCTTTATTACGGAGCGAGCGAAGCGAGCGTAGTCTTTCCTTAGATTAACGGAAATTTCTGAGTATGAGCGGCCGGCCGGCCGGCCGGCCGTGCGGACGCTTTTGCGAAGCTTATATCTCAGCAACCACTTGACCGATTTACATGCGATAATTTTTGTAGGGTAGCTCCAATCCTTGTACCAAGTATTGGACTATTCCCAAAGCGTGTGGGTGACCCCTTATGCACGTGCCACGTGCAAAACGAAGAGGTGTCAGTTTTGTAATTGTTGCAATATCTTGGTAACTACTTGGCCGATTGCGCTGAAAGTTGGCATGTTGGTAGGTACCCACTAGGCACTGCATATCCATGTGCCAGAGTTGGGGTGCTGCTGCACGTGCGCACGTGCAGGGGTCGTTTCCAGATCTCGAGAACGGCTCGACCGATTTCGCTCAAATTTGGTACACAGTTAGGGACCGGTTAGTAGGGTGCCGTGCACAAGTCAGTTGGGACCCATTTTGCACGTGCGCACGTGCAGGGTGCCGCCTCCAGATCTCGAGAACGGCTGGGCCGATTGTGCCCAAATTTGGCACATTGCTAGAGACCGGTTAGTAGGGTGCCATGCACAAGTCAGTTGGAGGTACCCCCTCGCAATTTCGCACGTGCAAGGCCCACTCTCTCGCTCGCTCCGTTAGTCGCCCCAAAAGGCGTTATACTGGTCTTTATTATGTGACAAGTTTGGCACAAACGTCATTTGACCTCAGTTGACCTCATTTGACCTGACCTTATGGATAAGTACATCAAACAAAAAAGCACCAAGTGATATACTGTTAAGTTCTATGGTTTCAAAGCACAAAAGTGATAGAACGAAGCTGATATCTCCAGTATTTTCCGAATTGAATATTTTCCTATAGGCCATTACGACGTAATGACCTCTAACTGACCTGTTAGTGACATACAAAAACTATACAAAAACAGTGACAAAAAACAGTGACATAAAAAATTAACTATATGTTATAGGTACACTATACAGCTCGGTGAACTTAGCACATCCTGCAAGTTTGAAGGAAATCAGTCCAAAACAACTGTGAGTTGGACAGGTGCAAAAAGAAAATTGAAATTTGAGCATGACGTACCAGTTTCTCTGAGACCTGGTGACCTGAACCAAGGTCACCCGGACCTGAATTTTTTTGGTCATATGTAAAAAGGTTGCCCCATAGGCTGGGCCAAATTTGGCGGCGCTGCGCACCGCCGTATTTACGCTGTTTTTGAAAAACCTTAGGGGGAGGTTGAGTCACCCCCCCCCCCCTGCCAGGGCGAGGGTTAACTAGGTGGTGTGTTCAGTGACGGTGCTCTGGACCGGCAGTGTGCTCAGTGACGGTGCTCTGGACCGGCAGTGTGCTCAGTGACGGTGCTCTGGACCGGCAGTGTGCTCAGTGACGGTGCTCTGGACCGACAGTGTGCTCAGTGACGGTGCTCTGGACCGGCAGTGTGCTCAGTGACGGTGCTCTGGACCGGCAGTGTGCTCAGTGACGGTGCTCTGGACCGGCAGTGTGCTCAGTGACGGTGCTCTGGACCGGCAGGGCGATGGCCGAGGAGCTGGCGAAGGAGCGCGGCGGCCGGAAGCCGGAGGCGGCCTCCCGACTGGGCTGCTGGGGCGGCGGCCTGGACCGTTTCTCGGAGCCGGAGGTGCAGAGCCGCGTGGGCCGCCAGCACTGGGCGCACGTGGCGCCCGACCTGCACACACTCGGCGACCAGTCGCCCGCCCAGCACTTTGCCGACTGGAAGAGCGCGCTCAAGCGCAGCGTCAGCGTGGACTACTGAGGGAGGGTGCGCCGCCGTGCCGCCGCCGTCCGGCCTGCTGCAGCGCGGCGCGGACGGACGCCAGTCGCCGCCGGCGGGCTGTGAGCCTTGGCGTGGGCACCAGGCTCGGGCATGAGCCAGCGGGCACATGCTGGGTGCATAGTTAAACGCATATGGTGCTCGGACGGGGTTCCTTCATTGCTGTGTGATTATCACGGAGGGTTTCAGACGGCAATCATAGCTGATCTTCTGTTTGTCGCCGTGCGACCTGGCTGCCGGATGGTTCAATTTTGAACGCTGTTGGCCTGCAGGCCACCCTGATATATTGTTGCTATGCAATTAGGTACCTACCCATGGTCGTCGTTCCCTGGAATAGTGGTTTATCGTTCTATGTTGCGTCTAGGTCCGCCCTGGTAACGTGTTAAGCTCAAGTACCTAGTATACGATTGTTGGTAATGAATCATATTACGCACAGATTGTGTCCGCCCCCCCCCCCCTTGCCCACGCCAACAATACACCGGCGAGGAGGAAAGGGAGCGACTTTATCGCCGCTGACGCTTATGCCGGCGGAAACGGAGACACTTCATCGTCCTCGTGTGCCGGGGGGCAGGGAGTGGCGCGACACGGCGGTGCTGGTTGGACGCCCCCTCCCGCCACCGGTGCACTCCCGGGGAGGTGTCGGCTGCACTCCCGGGGAGGTGTCAGTGCGTGGCTGGGTCCATTGCGGCGTGCCCCTGTGCAGGTTCCGCTCGCTGCAGTGACGGGTCACAGATGTCCCCCACTGTTGCCGTGTGAACGAGTGGCTGACGCTCCGGGTCCAGTGTGCCCGAGCACCCCAGTCGGGATCCTCCCCACCGCCCAAGTCCCACGCAGGGTGAACCCACCGGCCTGACAAGCAGAGCGCGGTGGAGTCGATCCGAGCTGTTGTGCAGCTGTCCCAGCCGGCAGAAGGAGCTCCGTCAGCCCCTGACTCTGTCCGGACCGCCTCTCACGAGTCTCATTTCGGGCGACAGCCGGGCGGTCAAGGTGGCGGGCTGTGAGCGGCACGTGAGCGTGAGCGGTGAGCTGAGCTGTGGGCGGTGAGCGGCAGGCTTGGCGTGTGAGCGAATCTGATCCGCCGTTTATTTCGGCCGTCACGCCGCACGAGCGCCGGGAGCGCCACGCGCACCACAAATGCCGCGTCACGACCAGCCGACCACGCACACAGAAGAGCAGCGCCGCCCTTGACGACAAGGCTGTGAGGGTGGGCGCAGCAACGCGGGGACCTATGTCATCTAGGCAGTAGTCCCCCCCCCCCCTACCGCCGCGCAATGCCAACGCAGCCGGGCGGCCCCGCGGTCCAGGCCTATATAAAAGAGCATGGAAGGGAAATGTCGCAGCGGATAGAACGATCCTAATGAATGGGAAACAATACTGGCTGGTCACTGGTCACTGGTCAACCAAGGTATGGACGAATACGGATGTGACCGCTCCGGCCCCCGTACGTCACAATGGTGCTATGAGCGCGCACCATGAGGGGGGGGGGGGCATTGCAGCCGTCCGGGACGGCGTGCCGTGTGCGCGTCTGACCTGGAGGCTCGTGCACAACATCCACAGGGGCGCGGCCGCGGCTTTTGTCATCGGCTGCGGCGCTGGGCCGCACTCTGTGTATGGATTACAGGGAAACGCGCCGGATGGTCATACTACTGCACAGCTGGCACGACACCCCACTGAAGTACCCGAAAAGCCACGGTCGCTACGTACAGGTACATTCGTTACGTGTGGCTTACACGCAATGTGTTAGAAAATACGACCGACGTGTGGGCCCAGCCGGCGGCGCCCGGGGCTCACCGGCTGACGGAAGGGCGGGCACACTTGACGAGACGGCACACCGGGTCACACACGGGCGTCGGAGCTATACCGGGTGCGTTCCACCAGCGGCTGGTAGCGCGGCCGGTCATCACAGCTGGGCTACACCTACACACCGCGGGGTCAGTAGCCAACCACGGCGGTGTCCGCCGGGTGCTACACCTACCCCACACCGGACAATACTGAAACGGACACCCGAACGGCACCCCAACCACAGCAGCGGGAGCGGAACCATCCAATAGATAATGTTCACTAACACTAGCCCCAGCCGTATCTATTGCCAAGTGAGAGCCTGCTGAGAGTGGCCGGGCCGGGCCGTACGACGCCTGCGTCGACCGTGCCAGCGAGTCTGTCAGGAGTCAGGACTCTGGTGGCCTGATGGACTGGCCAAGCCGCCCGCTGGTCGGGTCGGTTAGAGCTCTGATAGACTGGCGGAGCCGCCCGCGCTACAACCGCTCGGAGACTGCCGGCCATAGTTAACCACTAACGACGCCATCGAGCACGCGCCGCCGACAGCAGCGTTCATGGGCACTCATAAACGTCGGATTGGGCCGCCGGAGCGGCGCCATTTCCGCCCAAATTGGACCAGAGTGTGGAACTATTTGTAACACTGCGCGCCGCTCGCGAGAATAACAATAGGCACACTCGCTCTACACAAATAATACATCCAGTTCGAGTATTGGTACCAATGTTCTAACACTACACGGACGCGTGCCGTAGGACGAGTGTCCCTGTAATCTGTATTGATATGGGACTTCCACAACTGAGTCGCTACGGCTCGTAACTCCGCTCAGATCCTGACACCAGCGGCCAGTTCGTCAGTGAGTGGCGGCCACGACGCGACGCCAACTACAGACCTAATGCGTCCAACTCTGCCGGCCTGGCGCCGCACACAACTCCCTGCCGGCGGCGCAGCCCGGGGCGCACAGTGCAGCCCGGGGCAGTCCGGGGCGCACAGTGCAGCGCGGGGCACACAGTGCAGCCCCGGGCACACAGTGCAGCCCCGGGCAGTCCGGGGCGCACAGTGCAGCAGCCCGGGGCGCACAGTGCAGTCCGGGGCACACAGTGCAGCCCCGGGCACACAGTGCAGCCCCGGGCACACAGTGCAGCCCGGGCGCACAGTGCAGCACGGGGCGCACAGTGCAGCGCGGGGCGCACAGTGCAGCGCGGGCAGGTTTTGGCCGCGCCATCGGCTCCGTTCACCGACCGCCCGCGATGACCGGCTGTCTGGCCGGACGGTATACCGGCCGCTCACATCTGCGTGGCCTCGATGCCGTTTTCCACCTTGATGACGTCGCCGTCGTGCGCGCCCATCTTCTCGAGCTCGCGCTTGCTCAGGTGGTTGACGATGCCCGCGCCCAGTGAGTCGCCCAGCACGTTGATGGTGGTCCGGAACCGGTCCCTGCCGGAGGACGGTGTCCCAGCCGTCAGACCCAGGCACACGGTCCGAACAGCAGCCAGATAACTCACAGTCTGTCCCCTTCTGCATCACACCATTAGCTGTTATCACTGAACACTACTATTTCATGCACGGAACGTAAAGCGAGCCCCGTTTGATAACTGCAATCGTGACATGATTCATCCTCGAAGCCGCGCACGAACATTAGTAGAACATTGGACGACTATCGAGACAGGCGGCGTCCGTCCCAACCCCCATGTGGGTCCTATACGGACATAGCGCTGAGTTAACCGTCAATGCGCTGCAAATATTGGCGTAGGAATATACCTAGTATATGCGTATATATATACCTACCTACTTCCACAAAATGGCAGAATTATTTGAATAGCCAAGGTGTGTGCCCAAATGCATAGTTTTGCATCTTACAGGACATTGTCTAGATAGATGGCCTAAAACCGCCCTGAGACATTATGCAAATGGCTATCATTTTTCCGTCTCACTGGCGAAATACGGCGTCTTTGGCAGTGATCTGTGCGCTGGGTCGGGAGAAATCGAGGCTCGGCTCTAAAACTGATACATGGCCGCCCCGTGTCATTGTGGTCGATCGCTCATCGCGGTTCCTGGCGCCCGGCGCCCACCGCCCTCCCCCGGCGCCCACCGCCCTCCTCCCCCCCCCAGAAAAGCGCATTCGATAGCCCTTTTACAGACGTTTCTGAATAATAGTCTCAGATTTGACCTCAGGTCAACGGTTTGGCCTCCAGAGGGAAAAACTGTAAAAATAGCAATTTCCACGAGAAATGTTTTTCGGCCATAACTTTTTATTCAAAAGAGCCACGATATTACTTTTGGCGGCATCATGTTCCTCTCGTCGGGAAGCGTCAAATGAATTATTTGTTGACCTTGAAAGGTCATTTTGAAAATTTGACCTCGGGTCAAGGTCATGACCTGACCGGAAAGTGGTATGTTGCATATCAGTCGATCCGTAACGTCAAGCTGAACACAGCTGACGTGTTTTCACCGCTCTAGCACGTCTCTATCAAAAGCTGTAGCAAAAAAAAACTGCTGGTGACCGTTCATGACCTGAGATGACCTCCGGGGCATATGTACAGAGGGGTCACAGGTGCATTTCTTCGATTCAGTATGTCATTTTACCAATGAAACAATGTTTGAGAACGTTCTGAACGACATTTGTCCAAAAGAGGCGGATTTCAATTTTCTCCCATGGACTAATGGAGACGTCTCAAAATTGACCTGACCTTAGGTGACAGATAAAAAAAATTGAGATAAACAGTTTATACATATTGTTACTCCTATCAATCGCTGAAAGTTTCAAAGTGATCGTTCAGTCAGTTTAGCTATAGCGAGCCTTCAAACTTTTTCTGAGGTAAGGTCACTTGACGTGACCTGGTGACTTGACCTTGAACGACCCAAGTCTGAAATTTTCACATGAGTGGAAAGGATGTATGAATATGTGTGCCGCGCCGCCGTTTTTTTAATATTCGCGAAAAACCTTAGGGAGAGGGCGTAAAAACGCCCCCCCCCCCAGCACGGCGCGGGTTACAGTTAGGTACCCCCTGTTGCGAACGAATCGAATTCCGACCCGATCGACCGGTAAAGTTACGAATAAGCAAAATCCGAATAATACGAAAGTCGAATTAAACTTGTTCCGAATCGATCAATCTATATTGTCCGCCATTTTCTCCTTCTAATTTCAACGAGTTCATTCACACGACAACAATAGCACCGACGAAATTCCGACTGCGTGAAAATATGCAAAATGGCGCGTGCCATAAAACACTGGAGCCGCTACGGCGGCGACATCCTCCCCCCCCCCCCCCAAGAGTGACCCGTCGTCACCCTTGGCACCATGCCCATCGATACACACACTGGGCAGAGCGCAGTTGCACCACTAATCACCATCATCATCACTCCCCTCGAGGAGACACACTTTGCTAGCAGGACGGCGGAGACGTCCTCTAGCGGTCACTATATCCACAGAACGGACACGACCATCGGGTCCAGGGTACACCTGAGCGACTCGAGCCAGCGGCCACAATCCCTTTGGCGTGTCGTCGCCGGCTAGCAGCACCAAGTCTCCGACGCGCAGGTTCCGAACGTCTGATGTCCATTTGGTGCGCTGAACGAGGGTGGGGACGTATTCCCTGAGCCATCTTCGCCAGAACTGTGTGGCTATGGCTCGTGCTTGCCGCCAGTGACTCCTGACATTCATTCGTGATGAGTCACTGAGCTGAGACGGCAGGAGACACGCCGGTCTGCCGAGAAGGATGTGGCTGGGAGTGAGCGCTTCAAAGTCACTGGCCTCTGAGCTGACATGCGTCAAAGGTCGACTGTTGATGACTGCCTCTACTTCTGCGGTAGCGGTCAGTAGAGCTTCTTCATGAACGATGAAGTTTCCAAGGACTACTCGGAGTGCTCGTTTCACGGTTGCTACCATTCGCTCCCAAATACCTCCCATATGGCATGCGGTGGGAGGATTGAAAAACCAGCGGATGTTGTCTTGGGCGAGCCGATCACTGATGCAGCCTTGATTTAGGTCGGTTAGAAGACGTCGGAGTTCAGCTTCCCCTCGGCGGAAGTTGGTTCCGTTATCCGAGTACACCGATGCTGGCCTACCGCGACGAGCGACGAAACGCTGGAAGGCCATGAGGAACGATTCGGTGCTTAAAGATGTCGATATTTCGAGGTGGACTGCTCTGGTAGACATACATGTCACCAGCAGACAGTATCGCTTCTCCGTCTTCCTGCCTACTTTGGTGAGTATCGGGCCGAAGTAATCGATGCCGACGTTGCAGAATGGGTGTGTCACAGCTAAGCGCGCTTTCGGAAGCGCAGCCATTCTTGGCGTTTGAGGCTGGGCTCGTCTTCGTCGACAGAGCGGGCAGGCTGACAGGATCTTCCGCACTGTCGCCCGTGCCCTGGGGATCCAGTACAGCTGTCTGGCTTCATTGATGACGTGTTCGGCGCCAGCGTGCAGAAGCTGGCTGTGGAAGTGCGTGACTACTAATCGAGTCACTTCACTGCTGCGAGACAGGATCACTGGATGGCGAGCCGTGGCTGGGAGTGGTGCGTTGAGGAGCCGACCACCGACCCGAATGACACCGTCTTCATCCAGCCAGGGTGAGAGTGCCAGCAGACTACTCTTGCTAGAGACCGATCTGCCGTTCTTCAGGTCGATCAGTTCCTGATGATACTGATCATTTTGCATCTTGCGCAGAATAAGGTTTTCTGCATCGTTCAACTCTGTCACCGAGAGCGTGCCAGCACGGCGCCATTCTTGCTCTTCTTGAGAGCCGCGTCTGGCCACGAAGTTGCAGAGAAACCGCATCAGCCAGGCGACGGAGCGTTTGTAGCGAGTCCAGCTTGAGAATCTGCTGGGGTCAGGGAGAACAATCCCTGTGCTGAGATCAGTGGAGGTGAGATTCACGACCCTGACCTCGGGATCACCATCGTTTATGGCCTTTTGGCGAACCTCTGAAGGCCATTGATCCGGCGGCTGGCGAAGGAAGGCAGGTCCTTGAATCCAGCGGCTATCCGGTGTCAACTGAGAAGCCGGCAGACCCCGCGAGCAGTCGTCCGCCGGGTTTAGGTATCCTGGGACGTGCCGCCACCGCGATGGTTCTGAGCCTTGGCGAATCTCCGCTATTCGGTTGGCGATGAACGTGTGGAAGCGTCTGCTTTCGTTGTTGATGTATTGGAGAACCACCATACTGTCGCTCCAAAAGTTGACTCCATCAATTGCGAGCTTCAGTTCTCTTCTGATGGCGTCTGCCAGTCGAACGGCTAGCACAGCCGCTTGAGTTTCAAGCCGAACGATAGTCATCTTCTTTAATGGAGCGACTCGAGTCTTGCTCATGACGAAAGAGACAGACATAGTGCCGTCAGCCGATGTCTCTCTGAGGTAGGCCACGGCCCCGAAGGCGAGCTCGAAAGCATCACAAATTATGTGAAGCTGCCGATCATGTGCAGGTGAGTCGCATGCTTTGAAGCTCCGAAGAACTGTGAGTGCTTCTAGGCACGCCAATTCTCCCGTCCAACGAGTCCATTCTTCCGCCGTCGTTCCTGCGAGCTCACAGTCCCAGTCGAGTTTCAGTGCCCACAGCTTCTGCATCACGATTCTTGCGAGAAGAGTGAATGGAGAGGCGAATCCGAGTGGATCGTAGATGGAGGCGGCTATCTGAAGGATACCCCGTTTTGTAGGAGGCACAGTTCCGTGATGAACATGCAGCCTTAGCAGGTCAGTCTCTGCGTCCCACAGCAAACCGAGGACGCGTTCTGTCGGCAGCTGCACGGTCAGATCTGCCGCTGATGGTGTACGTTCGGACTCTGGCACAGCGGCGAGGACGTCACGAGAATTGCTGAGCCATTTGGTGAGTCTGAAGCCCCCTCGAGATACGAGTGCTGTCACTGCTGTGAGGCTAGTAATAGCCGAGTCGCTGTTTGGCTCCGAGCTGAGGAAGTCGTCCATATAGAAGTTGCAGAGGACCGCTTCTGTCGCCGCTCTGTCCGAGTCAGTGTCAGCCGCCATGTCATTGGCGGTCTTGCGAAGAGCATACGATGCCGAAGCCGGTGAGCACCGGGCTCCAAAGATAATACGGTCCATTTGGTACACATCAGGAGGCCGGGCGGTGTCCAGATCTCGCCAAAGAAAGCTGAGTGCCGGCTGATCATCCTTCACTGCCGCCACCTGATGGTACATCTGTTCGATGTCGGCCGAAACACCGACTTGCTGCTCCCTGAATCTCAGAAGAACGCCGGGAATCGTCTGAAGGAAGTCAGGGCCAGTGAGAAGCTGACTGTTCAGCGAGGTTCCTCTGTAGCTGGCTGCAGTATCGAATACCACACGGATCTTTCCTGGCTTGTTTTGGTTGACCACTGCATGGTGCGGCAGGAACCATCGTTTCTTGTCTGCTCTCTCGAATTCTTCTGGGCAGAGCATTCGAGCGTATCCCTTGTCCAGATACTGTCGAAAGGTATCTTGGTAT